TGAAAGGAAGGAAGATAATCCAAACCAGCACAGCAAACAAAGGTTGTCCTGGGCCCCTCTATCAGCGTCTCAGTTTAACGAGGTGGTGACAATGGTCATAAATCACGATTTGCATGCTAACGCCAACGCCAGTGATTTGCTCTAACAGGTAAGGCGTGCTCGCTCACACAATGGATATCCATCAAGACTTTGATCATGCTTTTGACACAAGGGGTTGTTAAAATATACGGGGAGAGGGCAAATCAAGTCCTTGCTTTACAGTGCAGAATAGAAAAAGAACGAGGCACCCACTCCCCATCGGTGTTAATAACCTGACCAAAAAAGAGCCCTCTCCCTAGACCGCCTGCACTGCAAAGACTCAAAAGACTTTCTTCCAATGCAATTTAAGCACACGCCAGTTCTGAGTGTAGATTGTGTTTTTCTGAAGGACTCTGGCATCACATGTCGAACTACATCAAATGACCAGAACTAACTTCACGTGGTTACCATCTATCTCTAACTCAGCCAGTTTGCAATTTTCCAATATCCCCTGGATCCTCAGCTGGGTTGAAAAAAATAAATATGAGCCAGACCCTCAGCTGGCGTGTATTAGAGGGTGCATGATATCTAGGATTGATGAAAAAAATTCTGTCCAAACTTTTTTCAGTGGAAAACTTGGTTTTCAACTTTGTTTTTGTTGCAACACATTTATACTTTCCACAGAGCTTTTTAAATTTTCATAAAAAAATCTGAATGTCTGAAAATGGAAAAATTTTCAGTTTTCAGGCAAAACCAAAATTGTTTTGATTCTGAAATGCTGCCACGATTCCTTTTGGGAGTTGTCATTTGGTTGCCTCCTACATCCATTCTCATCTCTGGGCTGGACTCAGGGCCAGCCCACAACATTTTGGCACCTGAAGGGGGGGAGCTCAAATGAGGCCCCCGTGCCCCCTCACTTGGGCCAAAACTGAAAGGTCTCAATTCTGCCTTCTTCCTGTTCTACTTCTTTCATGATAGTGCTCTGCTAGATACCCCAGTAAAGGAGAACTAACAACTTAAAATGCCTTGTTCAAAAATTTTAAGT